GTCCAAAGACTTGAAGGTGTTTTAACATTGAAGTTTCTCATCTGCAGTGGTGCGACGACGACGCGCGCGAGCGGCGAGGGAAAGGGTTTAGGGGAAGTAGCATGAACCACCATGGAAACAAACAAAGAAAGAGTGGAGTGACAGCTTGTACAACAGTTCGGCAGGTACGTTTGCAGCCCCCCCCAGTGGCCTCTTCGTTGGCCATCCGCCACTGGGGAGGGGGATGGCCCCCTGCCTTGTTAAGTGGTGGTAATGGAAACAGTGGCATTGGACACTTTGGTACAGGGGGTGACACACACACACTCTGACATTGGTATTCAGTTACACTCAATTCCCAGGTAGAATGGCGATGGAACGGAAAGGTGAAAGAGTCGGCGCATTTGAAAGGTTTAACAAATTGTTCACGTGTCTGCAGATCGATCAGCGCGGCTGCACATCAGTGGTGGAAAAAGGGTTTGTGGGGAGCAGCATGAAACCACCATGGAATCAAAGAGCAAAATTGGACCGCGTGTTCAACAGTTGCAAATTGTCGCAGGTACACACGGGTGATCAATCCGTGCTTCCCACTCCAAGGCATAGCTTCGTCGCATTGAGTTTGCCAAGGAGTGCTCAGTGCCCCTGCTTGGTGGGGTGGTTGCAATGGAAAACCGTGGCAGTGAACCCTTTGGTACAGGGGGTGACACACACACACTTAGATTGATGCTCGCAAGAGCTAAATCAGTTGGTGAAGTTATACTTTGCACGCATTAGCCCTTGACTTGAAGGAGCCGAAGGATGCTGCAACAGAATGGCGGCTGAGTCAGCTGACTTGAAGATGTTTCAACAGTGCGTTTCAATGGCAAGCAGTGCGGCTGCAGTCAGCGGGGAAAGGTTTGTGGGGAGTATCATGGAGAACAACCATGGAAGCAAACAAAGCGGAAAAATTGGAGTCATGTCATCGGCAGGTACACAGGGATGATCAGTCCCTGCTTCCCCTTCTTGTCCACAGCTTCGTTGCGTGTGGTAGGACAAGAAGGCCACACGCCCCTGCCTGTTGATTGGAAAATTTGCTTCGGTACAGGTGTGGACACACTCACACACACATGCACGCAGATTTCGTTAATCAGTCTGCTAAGATGATAGGTGACCAGACAGTTTTGTTTTGGCAAGCGCAGAGTTGAAACACATGTTTTCTTCTACTCATCTGAGGCGGTGTTCCAATTAAGGCCAGTTTGCATAGTCCTTCATGCACCAGGTGGGCACACCTAAGGGTGATTGACAGCTGATGACCCAATATTCCTGACTCCCCATTACTAGACGCCGGTCCCCTGAGATTAAGACTCCAGCATGTTTTTTTCCGTATAGGGATACGTTATGATACGTTTATTGTTGAACGACATGTCTGCCTGAGCCATACAAGTGCTTTACCACACACTCCGCGCATTGGAACAGTTCTGCCACGGGATCTGGAGCCTTCCTGGCCAATCAAACAAGCTGCCCTTGAGGATCTTGCTTTGGCCAGTGAAGCTCGCTCGCGATTCGCAGAGTGGAAGAGCGGATGGCAGGGCTTTGGATGGAATTTATAGATGCCTCTCAAGATGGATCATGGCTCCTTTGTAAAGAGCTTTCTTCGCACAGTCCACTCGTGAATCACCTTTGCAAGACAATCTGAAGATCCAAATACTGTTATCAAGCACTAGGTTCAAGTAAGAATCTGTGATTAAGAATCTCAATTGACAGTCCCTAGACCTTTTGACCTTGTGTCATCTCGATTCTGAGGTTTGCACTGTCATCATGTAGTTCAATCACGCTGGGTTTGCTCGGAGTGTATTTACAGTAGTCCATTGTGTATGGTTTGTAAACAGTACGGACAGCTTTTGGCCTGATCGGGGCCACAAATCTCTAAGAATGTGCCTGGTGCGTGGCACATATTATATAATAAGTACGACAGGGCTCTTCAAGAAAATACATTAAAATGATAAACACCGGCCCATGACTGGTCTCCATGGCAGGTCGTTTTTTTTCCACCCTTTCTTTTGTTCGGAGGACGAAGGAGCCGCAAGTCCAAGATAGTCCAAGTTCTTGGGTTTGACCACTAGATTCTATACCATATGGAATCATGTGGACATATATGGACCATATGATGCCATCACTTGTCATTGTTTGACCTCTTCTATTCTCTTCTCTATTGCCTTTCTAACACGACTGTATCTAATTCACGATGTTCTGGTGAACAAATACTTTGAACTACTCTGCGAGTTGTTCACATGGACCTGGTTCATGTTCACGGCTGTTTGGTGGTCTCTCACCGAGTGTGTTCGTCCCAAAACCGCGACCGGGTGTCCCACCACGCCCCAGGCGGGTCGCCATGACCTTCCAGCTTTGCTGGCTGCGGGCGACTCTTCAGGCCGTGTGACAGACGCTCGATTATTCGAGGCGTCCGACCGGTCCGCGGTGCGACCGGTCCGCCGCGGTGGACGGATTGGTTCAGTGACCTCTGCAAGAAAGGAACAGGGTCAGAACCACTCCATCTCCGAACTTGTTGGCTTTGTGGAGTCGAGTTTTGTCCTGCGCGGGGGAGTCAAACGAAATGACGAACTGTGTTTGGTTGACCATCACAAAACGCCACTGAATTTCTGTATCAGCAATAAGACACCAGAGAACACCGTGGATCAACATTTGCACTTACCACTTTGATAATAGAAAAACACACTTGTTGCATCTTGTTGCCAAATATTGAAGAGTTAGCACAGACCGGGTCAACAACAACACAAGCAAACTCACCATGTGTCACAGTGTCACACCTGGAGCGCCGCTTGGGCAGTCAGGAAGACATTTCGGACCCGTCTGTTCGTCCGGGTGCGACTGAACAGGTGGCGAGTCATACTGCGCCGGCATGGCCCCCCCTGGATTGGTGGGTGATGTTGGGTGCAGTATAGAAATGGGGATGATCGCATTAGAATAGGTAGACCCCCAAAGTTCAATTGGTACAAGGACAAGGACGCTAACCGCTAACCATCCAAAACCCACTGAGGGGAGGTCTCCCTATGGAAATATACAAGTGTCTCTCTAGTATCTACGGTGCTTTGAGCATCATAAGCGAGTACGAACAACCCATGGGCAGTCCCATGGGCAACAAATCAATCATTTGCTAATATTCAATCAGATCAAGCTACAGATAACAACCGGGTTGATGTTCAATAGGCAAGATAGTGCATGAGGGAACATCCCACTTTGGTTGTTCGGCTGGGTGATCAATGGCAAACATTACCACGTTTTTGGTGGGGTGAAGGTAAAGTTAATCAACTGGCAGAAACATGTTTTCCCTTGGTATGATCAAACCGTCAAGACAATAGATGCACCCCGTCTATATAAGTAAGTTCGTTGTTTTGGATGATCACTAAAAGGATCAGCACAATTTTCTTGTGGTGTGTAGTGTGTAGTACTGATATAGTCCGCATAGAGTCCAATGCCAGTCGAAGCTCAAACTAAAGCCCCGAAGTAAGACCAGGCAGCCCGTCTGAGGAGACCATGTGCCCGGTCGACCGGGGCCACCGGTCAGGGGTCCATTCACTTCACTGAGGTTTGGACCTTGACCGCTTCCGGTGCTTTGGCTTCTCCCAAAAGCTCGGGCAAATGGTCCAGCGTGAGACGTTTATGCAGCATCTCAGGTCGGCGTCGTTCTCGCGCGTCGTTCGTGGTGGATGGACTGAGCTGGTGGCGTGAAAAGGGCGTGCTGTCAGGGCGTGTGAAAGTATTTGTATTCTGAACACATCTGAACACATCTGAACACCCTTGTTCAGTGCTTGTTCCCCTTTTTCATTTGGTTTGAGGAGTCGGAATTAATTGTGCGTAATTAAACAGCAATTTGCTCATTTGAAGCGGCTCGAAGGCTCTGGCTCACGCAGCTTGTGAGGCCTGCGGCTTCTCCACATCAAGCCAGCGCTGGTGGGAATTTTGCGCTATGGAGAGCAGAAGCCCAGTTGGTTGCTGGCTATGGCCTGTGGCAAGGACGGGAGTATGGCGCCACAGCTGGATGACGAAGAAACACGCCGCCGACGGTGCTTTTCGGCTCCCTTTTGGTTCGCTGCGTTCGTGGGAGTTCGCTGGAATCTACTTCGTTGTAGAAACGTAGAAATAATGATCCTTCATTATGAGCATTCTGCCGCTGCATGGAGCACCCCTGAAACTGCAAGAATGTGGAAAATAACAGACCAATTGGTGAAAGAGTGATCCACCTGTTGAACGTATGTCATTTGCGGACGAATCTTGAACCAAGTTCTGCCAGCGTGATCGCCAGTTTTGCAAGTCTTCTGTACCATGGTCTTCCCCTGCAACGCATCGAACAACCACAGCAGACACGCAGGACACCCTTGTGCTGGATGCGTTGACCGGGCAGGAGTTGCACCATGGTGTGGCCAAGCAACCCCACCCAGTGCAAGCCATGGAGTGGCGCTGAACGACAAAACAGACGGCTGCCCACCATGAAGAGAGACCATGAGAGACCTGTTTAGAATACTGAATGAAGTGGCATGGTTGTATGTTATATGTGAGGGACTGAAGGAGGGGACAACTATTCTTGAGTCAGAGCCAGATATACATAGAGCCAGAGAGTTGGAGTTGGAGCGAGAGAGTTGGAGTCATCCGGCACTTGTTCATAGTTGATCTAAGATTCTGTTTCCCCGACTGTTCGATTTCGGCAAGTTTTCTCAGAAGGGTCTGATTGCGTAGACATGGATTTCTGCCAGCAATCTCATTGTCATGGCAGGTTACATTTGGTAGAAGCTGATTCATGTTTGCTTATTTGCATAATAAACAAGTTGTATCGTACGCCTTAACTCCTTCCTTGACTCCTTGGCTCAAGGTGTGGATTTTGACCAAGCATGTCTCAATGTTGCAATGGATCCTAAGATGACGTTCTGGATGAGTCGCTGCCATTCTAAAGAAGCTCGAACACTAATCATACAAACGAGTTCCGTAATTTTCGCATAGATTCAGGAGAACTAGGATAGCTTGAAGACCTAAGAGTATATATCTGTACGAGAGGGCCTCGCAGAGGGTGCTCAGCTATGACGAAGACTTTCCAGGAGTGAGCAGATGGGCGGGCAGTGACCCTGATCCTCAATAGTAATTAGTAAAAAGTCATAGTACAGTAAAGTATATTCATCAATATAGCATTTTTTATCGGCTGATTCACTTAATGGGTAATCATTGGCCTTTTCTCCTACCTTCTGCTTTTGGGGCGGACACCCTCAAGTGGATGGGAGGGGTGACCTGATAGAGAAATGAGATGTGGGTAGATCTGTAGGCGTCAGGACAATCCCACCCAAGAGGAGGACAAATAGTCGACCTCCAAGGCAATCAGATTACTGTAGCAATCAATGTCCGGAGCTTCCCACGTGATGTGTTGATTGCTTGCCCATGAAGATGCAAACAGGCAAGGGACCAAAGCAGAATATGTCTTCCTGACATGTCACTTGCAGAATTGTGGCACGTGCTTCCAGCGGAGAAAAAACAACCCGATTAGTGGGTTCCGGAAGGGTATGCCGCTTCTGTTGGACAACGATTTGACCCTCCAATCAAGGTCTAGAGACCCAATTGGAGGAGGCCGATTGAAGACACCCAGTGGCCCCAGAAGTGCTGTCTCAACATGTCTCCGACCCCAACCAACTGCTCAGATGCAGAGCATGTTGCACCGCCAATGCCCCAATCGACCTTAGAAACACCATAAACCATGATTCCTTCAATAGGGTCTGGATCATTTTACTGGATCCGGTATGATCTGGTTCGCGCGTTGACCCAGGACTTCCCTGGTGCCGGCTACTTGCGGCTTCGGGGCCGGCTGTGGGGCTCCATTGCGGTTGGTCGGACTAATTGAATCTCATGATCATCATCCAAACATGAGATCATCATAGATCATGAGGTGCTCTCCTTGGTGGTGAATTTTTATGTTTCTTTTTCCCCACCTGTCAGGTGAGGGTTGTTAGATTTAATGTCAGCTCGTGCCCTCCTCCTCGTGCTCCTCCTTGTCCTTCTCGTCCTCCACGTCATCCTCAACCGCGAGCCTTGGCTGGTAGTCTGTGTTCCCCGCCGGACCTCAACTGCGAGGGTCGCGGGACAGTGTTCCCGGCCGGACCTCAACTGCGAGGGTCTTGTGGCAGTGTTCCCCGCCGGACGTCAACCGCGAGTCAGAAGATATGCCAGATAGAACGCCAGAAAGAATGTCAGAAGAGATGCTAGAAGATATGAAGAAGATGTGCCAGATAGAATTTCAGATAGAATGTGAAAAGATATGCCAGAAAGAATGCCAGAAGAGTTGAGAGAAGAGTATCATAAAGAATGTCAGAAGATGTGCGTGAAATAATGTCAGAAGACATCCCAGAGAATGTCAGAGAATGTCAGGAGATATGCCAGAAAGAATGTCAGAGGATATGCCAGAAAGAATGTCAGCAGAAATGCCAGATAGAGTGCCGGAATGAAGGTCAGAAGAAGATATGCAAAAGAACATGAGAAGATATGCCAGAAAACAGGTCAGAAAGATTGTCAGAAGATATGCAAGAAGGAATGTCAAAATATTGTTTCCATACATGCCAGAATATTTGTCAAATTGAAATGGCATGGTCGGGATCACTCGAAGTAAAGTAGTTTGTAAAATTGTGTAAATCAATGAAAAATGGAGGAATACCTTCAACAGAGGGTCTACAGAAGAGCAAGTGGCTTACATTTGCTTCAAAAGTCTGCTGCCACCCATCATTTTCAGCCCAAGGTGATTGGTCACGCGTGCTTGAACGCGAATCTCGTTCTTAAAAGGTTTTCCAAACCAAACATTGTTCCGCAAGATACGGAAAGGCTTCCACACACCTTGAAGTTGCCGGATGGGTAATGCAGGTATTTGAGTGGGTGGGTTGGTTGGTTTGTGTGGAGCCACATGTCCAGGCCTGCCTTTCAGCGCAGGGCCTGCGGAGGCGCCTTAAGTTTGGGCGATTTTTTCGCGGCTACTAATAACAAGAATCTACTAGGTGGAGGCCATCGCTACTAATTACTAGGTGGAGGCCATGGGGCTGTACACCACCATCCACTCGGATTGCAAAATCGCCAAAGTGAACCCCAACGTAGTTGTATATTATATTAATATTGGTTTAGCAATAAACACTATTTTATTGTTCTATTATATATATGTATATAATCAAACCATTTTGTCTCATCCTTGGGCCACCTGGGCCTTTCCCACACACACACACAACCTTTGGGGATAAGTTCAGCCACCCACTTCTGTGGACTTGGTACGTGATGTTCACCGTCCAGGTGACGTGACAATTCGACCACAAACAGTTCAGGTGTCCCCCCAAGAAGAACCTTTCAAAAAATTGATAGCGGCTATTAGGCTGGAGGCCATTGCTATCAGGTTCTCTTGAACCAACTTTCAGCACTTGTGCCGGTTTTGAGACTTGGCCCCCCCAAGTCCGGAATGTGGTCAAGCTGTCTCAGGTGTAGACATATTATAGATGTATACAGATGTTCTACATAAATATATCATGATTGTATCATGTAGATGATGTAAAGGTGAGATCGGCATTTTTGTGTTCTCACTCGACCTCTGGAATTTAATGGACCACTTTCGCTTCGACCCCCGATTCGACACGGATATTCTTTGATCCGCACGAATCACCGAGGTCTGTCCGTACGGCGTGTTTTGTCCGTTCGTTCTGGGTGCAGGTCACTGAGTTCTTCGCGGAGTTCGGAGTGTTGGAGGTGCAAGATTTGTTCACATCCATTTGATCTACCGGTGTTTGGACCTGCTTGGTGGAAGGTATGAGAAAGTATAGTATAGGGTATAGTAGGGCGCTCGAACTTCGCACAAACTTCACGCCTTCGGGGCGGGTTCCCGCGTATTCCCCCAATACCTGCCAAGTACGTAGCCTGCAGGTGTGGAGTGGTTCTGAAGGCCAGACACTTTTGACGAGGGCACCACCCACCCACGCACGCACGCACTCACCCACCCACCCACAAACTCAAACACACCACGAACAGCAAACAATAATGTTCACATGTTTTTTTTTATGATAGAGTCAGAGCTTGATTGAGCCACGTTGGGCGCTGAACACACACATCTCCACGTTGATGTCTGACGTAGTAAGACTCCGAAAATCCACATCAAAGCTAAACTTCTACATTGATATTCAGGGGCCCTGAGGGGTGTTTTTCGGCTGTGGTGCGGTGTGGTTGTGACCAGGGTCAAACGTGTCACGAGAATTCATCACGAAGCCAAGTCCAATGTCTGTCTTGGGGAGGATTACCAACCCTGGCATCCGCTCACATCAAAGGTTTGATGAGTTTTTGCGCAGAAACGGGTTTTGGAAGTGCTGACTGCTGACCTTGTCAGGACAATGTGATCCTGGGCACCACCGTGGATGGACGCTCCAGTGGTGAGGCAGGTGAAAAGTCGTGTTCTTGCTGTCTTGCCGTTGTCGATAGCACGAGCAAGGATCCATTGATGATGGGAGAGGAATGAACAACTCAAAGAGTCTGAATGGAGTGTCATGTCGGCATGTTCTAAAGGAAAGGTGATTCAGAACTTTATGCAAGCGGATTACAAATCATCAGGTTTTGTGCAAATCATGCAGATGACGATCATACTGCACCCGCCAATCTTGAATGGTGGGGTAACTAGAGGATGATGCCCCCATTGAGATCGATCTATGTCGGAGGTGGGAGTTTCTCATATCATGTGATAAATCCCACAGAAGCCTTCAGGTTGCACATCACTTCTTGAACATCCTAAGAGGACAAGTCTATCCAACAGTGTGTTTTCTTTTCGTAGATTTGTTACCAGATTCTCCAATCTAGACACGAGAAGGCCCTGTCGCATGGTCTAGCAGTCCTTTTAGAGTCTTACAATGTGAAGACACCCTTGCCCCTGCACGTTTTCAATGCGTTAAAACTTCTCATTTGCTTGGAGAATGTGGCCGCTTTGACCACCAGAGGCCTGGGTCCAGTTCGTAGATACCAGCAGCGCAGAAGAAGCGAAGCAGCTCCGGTTGCAGACGGCGAGCAAAACCGGGCGGATCTCGGATGAGAGATGTTCGATGTCAGCTATCAGCAGATCAAAGAGTTCTTTATTGTTCTTTATTCAGGCACTCATATCATTCGTTTATACTGTATACTGTATATATAATTAGAATTACAATGACGTTATTCAAATTTTATTTATATCAACTCAACCGGACATGGTATTCACATGTTGTCTCTGAACCAACCATATCGTTCTGAAAGGTATCAATCATGGTAGCTCAACCCTTGATTTCTGGGCCTTTGTGAATATGAGGGTGTAGCTCAACGGATCACACACGAATCACAGCAAACGCATCCAGAGTTTTGGGGCAAATGTTCACGTTGCCCATATTTTCGGGTGCTTCTCATGCTGGCGCCATAGCCGAGGTTCGACCGGAGAGGGATGAAGTCCGACGAAGCGAACCGACCTTTCTCAAAAGGGGCGGAGATACCTCGTCATCCCCCGTCCTCATGCCTCCAAGGATTCCCAAAGGCTTACATCCATGATGCCACCAAAGTCTGGTTTGTTGCAGGCCTTACTAGGGATGCCAAGGCGGCATGGTCTCTGTGCAAAGGAGGCAGAGGTGCTCTTGTGTAAACCGTTTTGTGATGCAAACCGCACTCAGTTGGGGCGATCCTAAACACCATGCAAAGCGTCACCGGACATCACGGGACTCACAACCTCAAGGATAGAGGCTTAGAGGCGGCTTAGAAGTGGATGACATGGCTCTTGCGACCTCTACGTAAACGAGAAGCAACATGCCTGTGTGGCTGAGGCGGCAGAAAGATCGACAGCTGATTGGTGGAAGATACATCGAAATCTTTGGCTCCTTGACAAGTTCAAGCTGAGAAGTTTCATGTTCTCCCTTCAGCGACCGGTTTTCTTCACAAATCGAGATCGGAGGATGAGTTCTTGAGCCCGTGGGAACCATGAAGGCATGTCCCTTTTTCCTTCCATTTTTCAACACTGATGTACTGTTCTGTATGATACTATACGTATGTAACATATATCAACATGCTTTTGGCTAGTCTGAGTAAGCATGTTTTGAGAACAAGCTCGGGATGACAGGTGCAAAGCTGGAAAGCTGAGTGGTTACTTTCGTTTCGCCGTTAAAAAACCTTCTGCACCACACAGAGAGAGAGAGAGAAAGACAGGATATTTCCTGGTCTTAAGCCATTTTTGCCACATTCCTGGGCTTACTGGGAAGAACCTTCGTGAAATGCTAAGGGTTTCTTCGAGCATTGCAGCATTGCGTAAAGTTGACAATCTGGTTTACACCCTGACCCATGCCACCCAGGCCGCGCATCCAACCCACGGTTCGCGCGTCAGGGTTGTGTCAGCCTGGATGCTGCATGTTCGAAAATGGTTTCCTACATCCCCCAAAAGCACACATGTTGATACGGGATGCCCGTTAATGATGCATGCGTTTGTCGGAATTAAATACCATCTAATTATCTAATTGGGGTATGGAGTATGGATCAAGATATATCAAGATCAGAAACCAATCTATTCCCAAAACCCATGGGATTGCTATACCTCCGTGTCAACATTCTGAGAGTTCAACCACTGCACTGGGGCGCGTGGCCCCAGGCTCCAGCCACGAGGACCGGTTTTGAGTTGGTGCATTGATGTTTTTGAGATGTTTTTGTTTGACCTTGACATCCTTTATATAAGATCTTTTAAGATGGAAGATCAGATCGTTTGATTACTTTTTGAAAGATAGTTGAAGACATCGTTCAATGACATCTAAAAGTCATGTTAAACTATATCTTTAGACAGACCCAAGATGGGGTTGGGTGTTTGTAGACTGTAGCCACAATTTTCCATCAACGCGGATTTTGGTTGGATCAACACAGAATTTTGTCTATTCGCCACTCTACAGAGAGATGCAGCAACGTTCCTTGTATTTCTTGGGTAAGACTGCAGGCTTCGCTTTCCGAAAGATACGGGTCTTCAAGGGCCTGATCAAATGTTTTTCTGCTTAATGCTTGTGATACCAATAAAATGGTATCCAACCGCATACGCTTAGGGCCTACTCGTCGAGTAGGGTCCAGCTTTGATGATGTACATAGTGCAACATTCGAAAGCAACGCATGAATGGTGGGCTCCCTCTCCCTATATATACTGTATGTATATACGCGCAGGTCTATGCTGTTGTTTCTTGTTCGACATCGTCAACATTTATGCTCGAACAAGTTGACCTTTACCGTGGTGAGTGATACCGTGATAATTACAATGTTTATAGTATTTAGACACATATTTTCATTGGTTCACATATGCCACAGAAATCGAAACAGCCAAAAAATAACACATCAACTTGAAAGAAGAATGAAGATGACAGAACCGTTCATCAAACGAGTTCATATGAGCGACGGACAAAATTATTGGCTGACTTATTTAGTCACGGCATGACCCTAAACCTATGTTGAGGGCTTTGTTTCTGTGGAAAACGATATGGTCCCCACCAAAAACGATAATCTTGTTAAGATGTAGTGGGTACAAATATGTTTGTGGTTACCAGATGCGATTGCATTTGCAAGTTGATTTGAGCATATTTGAGCTAAACCGATGGGCACCTCTTTTCATCAATGATAATCCCAGACAACTTTCCAAACGATAATCCAAACGATAAGCGAACGATAACCTAAATGTCACGCCAGGCACTCCGTAGACCTACTTCTCCACATTACTAGTGTTGGTCCGAGTGCATAAATCAAGTGCTGCGCCATTCCTGTGCAGAAAGCACTGTAAGCCTCTAATCTGAGGTTGTGAGTCATATTTTGTGTTTTAGCCTATGTGCTGGTATGCTATGCTAACTACGGTTTGGAGAAACATTGGAGAACGATATGGACCCCACCAAAAACGATAATCATGTCAAATGGTATTGCGCTACACAAGTAATTTTGTCCGCTGCTCATATAGGTTTTCTTTAGATTTGTTTAGTTGTTAGTAACGCCATTTGACTTTGAGCAAAAGGACGGTTCCAGTGCACAATATTGGGTCAGAGGGTCGAGTCGTTGATGTCGGTGGAAATCGAAGCAACCCATGTGTGCAAGGTGACCATGTTCTGCTCCGAAAGGTGACCATGTTTGTGCCAACGGGAGGAAAACGGCACGTGCAGTTGTACCATTTGTGTAATATGATGTAATATGCAGAGTTGTCATCGACAACATTGCCATGGCTTCACAACATTGTCATCGGATGACCATGTGATTGCATTGGGGTGGAGGGGGGGTGGGGCAGCACTTATGATTGGTTTCATAACAGTGTCATCGGTTTCACAACATTGTCATTGGCTTCACAACATTATCATCGGGTTCATCACATTATGTTCTTATCCATGACATTGTCGTTGAAATCGAAACGTTGTCGTTATGACACCCTGGCCACACTCACAGCGCACACGCTGCGCACAATGTGCAAAAGACCGAAGGGCGTGATGCCGCTGATTTTCCTAAAGCTGAGATTGTTTTTTGAATGGTCTGACACATGCTTTACATTGCCAATCACAGATGAATTGTGAAACCCAGTGGAAATGCCATCATGAGGCAGTCTTCGATGCACCAACATATTGAAACATACAGTACTCGTTTGAGTCAGATGGACAATCCTGCGAAGGTACAAAACACACGTTCGAAAATGAACCCGCCGGGATGTTTGTCAACCCATGCTCTGTAGTTACAGCAGCGTGTTTGGCTTTGCACCGGTGGGATGTGGTAAATTGTTGGATGTTGTCGTATGTTGCGTTTCTCCTTCTTTGGAAACAACGATGCCAACGGCAGACAAATCATCAATAAACACACCTGTAGTCCCCTAGTGCCTCACTATTTGGCCAGACCGTTGCTCCGTTGCTTGTTTGCTCATTGTAGGAATGTTGCTGAAAATATGTTTGTTGAAACGTGCAGTGCTTTGGCCAGAACACCTCGCTGCTTCGTGCCATACGGAAGTCTATTTTTGCCGGATTAGCACCAGGAATACCGCCTGGCAAGATTCACGATGCTGTACGGGGATCTCTTACCAGGATGCTAAGTTTACAGGATTCTGCTTCAACGCGCCATGTGGATTGGACACACAATGTGGTGCAATCTAAGGTTCCTTTTTGTGTGCATTGCTTCGCTGACCTTGATCATGATTCTACTAGGCGGCTGAACAATTTTTTGCCGTTGGGGATTCACATCCTGTACCTGTACATTGACTTTTCTGAATCAGCACTGCATTGCACTCTACACTTGTTCATTTGACTTCACCGGTGCGTTTGGCCAAAAACATATATATATATATCACAGAATCAAGTTCAAAGCACATTGAACAGACCTCATACATTTTGGCATGACATGGGATGACCCCACATGGATCCAACACCAAAAAGACCGTACGCCGTATGGCCCTATCGTGTTCGGAAGGCCGCCGCGATACCGTGATTTGTGCCGGCCTTGGAGGACTCCTCCAAGCAAAGCCGTGGAGGCTTTGGAGGTTTTGGAGGAGGAGGTTTTGGAGGCAAAGGCATGGGGAAGAGCATGGGTCCCCCTTCTGGAGGACTGCGGTTATCCTTGCGTCGTGGTGGGCCAGGTTCGCAGAGAGGGTGTTCTAAGAATCGAACACCACGATGGTTTCGACGATGTCGAAGAGGTCCACAGTGTTTGAACCGTTTTGGGAATTGGATGGTTCTTTTTTCTGCAAGGGAGAAAGGGAAAACATGCGAACACCACAGAAGCCTGCCATTTGTTTAAAGATTTGGGTGCCCCAAGGCTGCCCTTCTTTTCAAAGATGAATTGACAGACTGCCATGAACAGTTCCCTTCAAAAAAAAGTGACGACATTGGATGTTCACCGCCCTTCATCAATCTGACCCTTCCGAAAACCAACATCAACCACGACTGTAGAGGAAATCATCCAAAATTATCAGAAGGTGGAACCTGATGGCTTTTTCGAGAGTGCTAAGAACATGTTATCCCACCATGGGAACCCCAAACAAGATAAAACAAGGCTTTGCTACGTTTCTTTAGAGCTTGCTGGCACTTCCTCCATGCTGTTTGCGCACCAGGACTCTCCCTAGCGCAGAGCGCCTTAAGCGCCATGGGGATGACTCCAATGGCCAAGGACGGATCTTCGGAGTCCGGTCGACCAAGGACGGTCCATGAAGGGCGCGAGAGAAGATATGAGAAGATGACAGGCTGTTGCTACTAGCGTGGCACTTGTTTCTAATAGCTTCTTGTTACTACTAGTA